GCATATTAATGCTTTTTATACTTCCCTACACTTCCCAGAGTTGTTAGATTGGGCTGGCATATATGGATGCAAGATGAACAGTGATTAATATTTATATGTTATTTATATGTAAGGGTGTAGGTTTATACATATGTTGTATATAGCATGTTTTAAATGTGTGTTATGTCTCTTACGCTTTTGAGAGCAAGCAACAAAATTTCATTCTTAATGTGTGCCAATGTGCACACAGTAAAAAATAACAATAAAGGTTATCTATCTATCTCTCTATCTATCTATCTCTCTATCTATCTATCTATCTATCTATCTATCTATCTATCTATCTATCTATCTATCTATCTATCTAGTTAGCTAGCTAAACTGCTTATAAGAAATAATTAAATAACAAGTTAACATTAATAGAAATTTCTCCAGACATAGGTATCACATTTTTAGTTTTTTTAAACTTCATGTTTAAATTGCAATTGATTTAAAATTCAATGGAAACATTGAATATTCAGAAATAATTTCTCTGAAACTTTCTGGCCTTCATTTTTTAGAGGCTACTATGTTGAACACTTCTAACATTCGGCATCATAGAAGAACCAAGTCATAGTACAGTTTTGCCTGCTGGGAAATTTCCATGGGACATTTGTGACAGAAAAAAATAGCTAATGTCTATTATGGAAATGAAAATGAAGATTAAAGAAACTGAAGGAAAAGAGAAGGAAACAATGAAAAGATTTCATTCGGTACGTAGCGCTATGAGCTGTGGTAGACAGCTTTATAAATAGAATATACATAAATATTTGTTCCTAAGTCATCAGGTAGCTGTTTTATTGAAGAGCCAGAATATTTACAGAAATAATTTTAATCAAGAACAGTGACTGCACAAATCATAACACCGCGTGTTGTAATCTATCATAACTCTGCTTTTCCCTATTCTAAAAGCAAAGCACATTGAATAACCAGTTTGCAATTGTTTGTGGAAGATTTACAACTATAGGAGACTGGCTGTCTACCTTCTGGCTTATGGTATGATTGCTATTACTAATCCAACAATATTTTAAATATTTCAAGCAATTCATCACTCTGACCTTTGTGATGACCTGATCTTATATAATTTGGGTGCATTTATGACAATCAACTGTCTTATGTATATGGAACTTAGCATTGGGAGGAAGTTGCATTTCTCAAAAATTCTATAAAGCAAACTACTGCAGACTAGAAACTGAACTTTAAAAGTGAAATGAAAATAATTAGTTTATTTATTTATACAACTTATACAATAAGCCAGAATGCTTTAATATTCTACCTTAGCATGTTTGAGTAAACTTATCATTTCCATTTAACTTCCGTTAGTTTCAGTGTTATGGCAAGCTAGAAAAGCTATCTTCCAGGATTCTTTTTGTCATCCATTCATAGCTGGAATACTGGATGGTTCCTCTTGTAAACATTCAGTCATAAGTCAAAAGATAAAAAATGGCTTGTTTATAATAACACTATTGTATTTGTAATGACAAACAAACCACAGGCAGAAAGTTTGTTTAGTAACTTCCACCCAAAGGATAAGCCAAGAATGAGCAATGTTGGCATCCCCTGACATACTTGTTTGATCACAAGATTTGCAAATAACCCTTTCAAGTGTTTGTTGCAGGAAATGCTGGTGTGTGTATATGCATAAAGCAACTCTATTTGTCTTAAAGAAGGTAGAGAAAGGTGTATGGCAAGTATACCTCTGTGCCCTCTAGACCCAGGCAGCACCCTGATTTTCTATAGAAAGTTTGAACTATAAGCTAATCAGCTGCAGCCCGCAAAATAAGATTCTTCTTACACTGATTGCTAAGCAAAAGCCAACAGACTAGAAAGGAAAAGGACAGAAGATTGTAGATTTAGAGAATGTGTGCATATTGGGGAAGGTCAAAGGACTTTTGCAGACTCTCAGTCCTTCTTCCCACTAAAAAGCAACCAGCTTGTATGAAGAACATGTGTATTATCAATGGGTTAGCCAGTAGGCTTTGAACTGTATTCGTCTGACTATCTTCTTTAAACTATCCATTTGGTTTGGGAATTGGTGTTTGTTCTAAAATCCAAACTGCCTTGAGGAAGCTGACTTGTACTGAACAGACCTGTGATCCATCTACCCCAATGTTGTTAAAACAGGTTATATTCATAATCTCAGCATGGTGAATTAACCCAATTGCTTAGTTTTGTAAAATACAAAGAATCGTAAACAAACTGCACTAGGTAGCCACAAACTAATTAATCACATTTCATTCAATCTGTTGTGTATACCCAGACACTAAATAGAAGCAACTCTCCAAGTTTCCAACTGGAACCTTTGCTGGTTCTCCTTGGAGATGCTGAAAGTTGAAATTGGAAATTTTAACGTGCAAAGCAGATGTTCAACACTGAGATAACAGTCTGCAAAGAAGGAAACACGCTTGCCAAGTAAATAGCTTTAGATAAGGAGAAATGGGTAACTCAGCTGGAGCCAGTCAGATGAAGGTGACAAGAGTAAACATTTTGTCAAAATAAGTATCAAATAATGGCTATTGAAGATATACTAAAATGCAGAAGTAATAATTGGTAGAAGATATGTAGATGTAAACCTATTGGGAAACTAGAAGTGGTAAGAATGGGAATTCCAAAAGAGCAATATGTGTTTTTCAACACTTGCCCAGGAAACTTCTTGTCTCTGTTTAAAAAAATGGGTAATTGTATCCATTAATATTAAGAATGACATAGAACTTTACTTCTTACACAGCAAAAATACTGGATTGCACTGAAGCTCTGTTTGTCTAGAAGCTGCTAGTTATTCCTGCTTTTCCTGAAGACAAAGTAGTTTGAGACAAGCTTTCATGAGCCTTTGTGTTTCTATACCAACCCCTCTGGTATAACTTGTTCTTACCCTTGAGTTAAAATAAAAAGTTAATCTTTTAATGAACTTTAAATCCACTCCAGTTAGTCAAAGTAAGTCATACTGCATCTAACATAAGTTGTCATACTACATCTAACACCTAATAAAATAAGAGAAAGATGATCTCAGTTGTTATGTGTACCAGTAGTTAATGATAAACTAGAGCTCTTAGAGTTAATAAAGTCCTAGGGACAATCATGTAGAGACAGATGAAACCACTCTTAATGAAACAATCTGTATTAACATATACTTCTTTACTCAGCAAATTAAGTAAGAAATAAAGGAGATTAATATTATTGTTGCTGTTAGCTTGAATCACTGAAACTCTCAAGTACACATCAGCTTCCTTTGTGCATAAGTAATTAAAAGGATATATGTGTGTTAAATCACAGCAATGCAGAAGCAATAAAAAACAATGAAGGGAGGGCCAAAAGAAACTACACCCTTATCAGTTGCATCCTTTAGTTTTAATGTTTCAGTAGTCACTTCCAAACTGGAAATCTTTTATACCTGCAAACTACTTATTCAATCTTGTTTGCCTGTACAATTTTCTATGGTTCATTTTAGACTTATCCTCAACACTACTAGATAGGCAGCATAGTAGGATGCCATTCATTAAGTGATATTGTGCACCATCATATGAATTTATCCAGTATCATTTCTATGCTGGTTTACATGCAGACATACCTTTAGTCACTCTAACAAAAAAAAAAAGTCTGTAATAAGGGCCAGTTGGATAATTTCTCATTGCTGATTGAACCCCACCGACACCAACAGTTTCTATCTGCAGCAATTTTGATAAAAAGGCATAAAATTGAGTACTGACATTAAGGTTTTTTTTCCTTTTTATATTTTATATACCTTTATTTAATTTCAAGTTTATCTAATTTTTTATATTGTTCCATTGTATCTTGTCCAATTTTTCATTTTTCCCGTTTTCTTAAAAATTCACTTTAGGCCAGGGTTTTATATGACCAATACACTGCTTTGTTCAATCTAGTCATTATTTCTGTATTTTCACTTTGCTGACCACAGATCATAAATAAATATAATTTGATTTAATAATAATGTGTGGAGGTTTTATTTAGCTACTGGAAGACATTTCCAATTATCTTTGATATCTGCTTGGAATCAGTTGAACTCTTGCATGGGTTCTATCCCACAATGGACATTTGATGTGGGCAATTCCAGAAAACTTGCTAATATGAATTCACATTATTGACCCAGATACTTTCGAGATCTTTCTCTTTCCAGTTTAGCATTGTTTTAGACCAGGGGTAGGCAACCTCGGCTCTTTTATGACTCATGGACTTCAACTCCCAGAATTCCTGAGTCAGCTATGCTGACTCAGGAATTCTGGGAGTTGAAGTCCATGAGTCATAAAAGAGCCGAGGTTGCCTGCCTACCCCTGTTTTAGACCAAGGCTCTCTAGTTACTTTGAGGGCAATCTCAATCATTATCATTGCCATACAGTCTCCAAGCGATGTAAATTGGGAGACCGGCAACATCTAGAAAGCAAAAGTTGGTATCCACCTACTTTAGTTCAATCTATAATTATAGTATATCCTGTTATTTTCTCTCTGATCTGACATTTTTTGGAATTGCCATATGACATATAAGTTCCAACCTTATAGAACTATATACACTATTCTAAATATAGAGTATATATTTAAATACTTTGCCATTTTAAAATATTACTTTGAATACCTTGAACAGTGCATTTGATGTGTACTTTTTTGCTGTAGAGATGCTTCACTGAACTAATCACCATAATCTTAAAATGTTTTTTCCTGACTACTAACTACATAAAATCCTGTAAATGGGTTGTAAACATAGCTTTATTTTTGCACACTAAATCAGCCCAAAGCCAAGCTTAAAAATTACCCTCCCAACTGAACAAAATATATTATAGATCTGGTTTTATATTCTGCTCTACATTCCAATTTCTACAACAACTTAGGAATTGACATTGCATCAAGCAACCTGCCTAAAATTTAATATCTACCTGAGGCGGAATTTTCCATTTCCCCCCAGTGATTTTAATGCTATCTGTCAGAATACCTAAATGAATCACTAAGATATTGTGACACATGACAGATATTACCTGGAAGAAATGGGATGATTCTCTGTCTGGGATCTTTTTGGCCTCCTTCAACAGGGAATTTATCCAAAAGTTGCATCTGCAAAAGAAATATTTACTATGAACTATAATTTACCATACACTTTCCCAAATCCCAGCTTCAGCATGGCCTCTTTCTTGATTATAACTCATTTAGAGTATAAGCTGTAAACAAAACAGATTTTTTAAAAATGTAACTCATGAAGAGAATCCATGTACCCAAGAAGCAAGGTGAATTACATCAGAGTTTGCATAGAATTAAAGTCTGGCATTCCAACAATTTCTGTATTGGACATTTTCTACTTCATGGAATAACAATCCAGCTTGGTTCACCCAGAATTTAAGACAGACCACCTACCTAGTAAAAACTATGGCCTCAGAACCACCAGAGAATTTCAATGAAGCATCACATATAGTTGTTGGCAGACTCCCTTATCCCCCACACAAGACAGTGCTTCTCCATGTATCTTGGAGAGACTTATATGAAGCAGAAAAGTTTCTTAGAGATCTGGAAATACTCACTCATTGGAATTGCTGAACTTTGCTGGAACAAAATGTGTTCTTATAAAGTTGAAGGTTGTATCACCCTTTCTGAAAGACTCTCCCTTTCCTGCTGACCACATACTTTTTGCATGCTTAACTCAGTGTGTGGTCATAGCAAATGACATACAGCACATTCATAATATATAGAACATTTGGCCAAGTTTTTAGTCACCGGATGGATAAATGTTTAATCTATATACGCTATTATAAGTTAGACAACACCCAAAAGTAAGCAAAAACAACAAAAAAGAAAATCCTCTCAAAACAGTAAAATTCAAATGAAAATTTCAGTGATTTGCTTCTTACTGAAGCATCACAATAAACCTAATACTGAAACAACAAAATTGCTAGAAATGTATGCATCTAGTGCAGAGTTCAACAACCTTGTTGGCTTTGTGGACTGGCAGGGGGAGGGAGAGGATGGCTCCGCATGCATGCAGCTGCATTTGTGCAAGCAGCAGGCACGCACACCAGTTGTGCAAATGGAGCATGTGTGCATACGCTCACCCACTGTTTGTGTGAGTGGGGATGTGCACGCACACATGCGTGCACACTTCTTCTGTGGTCTAGTTCTGAAGGATTAAGGCTTGGTAGTGGGCTGCAGCCCAGGGTTGGGGACCCCTGATTTACTGCATACATGTATGATCACATTTGTGTACAAAAGAATAGATTTTAAACTGTGGATATATAAGAAAGCCCAGGTGGAAAAATCTAGGAACTGAAATGGATTTAGAATGCTATGGCCATGTCCATATGAGGTTTCTGAAGCATTTGTAAAGCAGCTCTTCTGAATTCTTCTTCATTCCCCAAATCCAGCAGTATTAACGAGTTAAGCTCAATTATTTTCATTTCAGCTATGGTGTACTTGGGTTACGAGGTTTTAGGGAGATGTGAAAAGGTGGAGTGAGTTATAAAAATCAACAGCAAAATTAATCTGCATTACAGCCTCTACATGTAGAGCGAAGAATGTATTCATTTTCAAAACGTTTCGTCTATGCCCATACACCAATGGAAAAAATCAAAGCAGAAATGGTAGACATGATTAGAGAAGCTTTACTATGTATCAGTATCTTACATCTTATGCACTTGTACCCGTAATATTATTGATTGCATAACCATAATGTAACCATTAGTCCTAGTTCAGCCAACATGCCAGACAATGATAATGCAAAGTAGCCCATAGCAAGATTTGATTATAAACAACATTTTGATTTATAGCAAAGTTTGAATGATACTTTAAGGTAAGCTCATACTGAGTGCACAAAACAGGCTTAACTTGTCTATGGCAACACAACATATTGAATCATAAATTAACTAAATGGGCTAGGTTCACACAACATGCTAAATTACAAAAAAGCTAATTAAGGTTAAAAGTAACTGAGCTTACTATATTGTGTGAACACAGCTGATAGTTTCTGAACTACTGTAGTTAAAGGCACCAGATGAAACTAGCCCACGTCTTAGTATGTCAATTGAATTGATTTATAGTGGCTTCTAACAGCAATCCAAATAATGCCCGATTATCTGATTTGAAAGCATTGCTTAATCACAACTGCAAACTTTCCACACATAAGCACTAATGGGAGTTACATGTTATTATCACTGCATGAACACAATAAAAGTCTAATTTGTGTGCAAAGTTAGATGGAAAGGAACCATAAAATTTTGTCTTCAGCAAATCACTCAAAGCTGAAAGAAAATGGCTTTAATGTGTCCTGGCACAGATGAAGACCTCAAAGAAGAAGCCTGCCAGGACTGACACAGTAGTGTGTTCATATGATATAGTTGACCTAGTAACTATTCAGTAAAAATATGTATTCCCATATAAAAACAGTGCATGATGCTCCAGTCAAATAGAAGAAACCATATTTGGCACCTAGTACTTACCACAAATGTGGCTGCATGACAGAATTGGGAGCTACTTAAGTACTTTATTTTACTTCCTTTCCTTTTTTCACTCTGTCCTCTCTGGCTCTACATTGACAAAAATAGAGTACCTATAGAAGTCCCATTTTTCTTGCACTATTCTGTGTCTTCAGATACATTCCAGTAATAAAAAAAGATTTATCCTCTCACGCTTACTTGCATAATCTAGCTGGCTAGGGAAAGTTAGTTTAGCTCCAGACTACAGAGCTATTTGAGCTAAAACTAACTCCCTTAACTTCAGTAGCCATTGGTCTTAACTCTTCATACAATATTTAGTCTTCCTTCTTGACCTATACATACTATGTATACAACCAATAACTGGAAGTTTGGCTCTAACAAAATTAAAAATAGTCAGTACCTTGGAGAGCTCAGTGCAGGAAGCCACAAGCTTAGAACTTTCATTAGTGGAACTGTTTCCTAGGCCTTGTCTTGGACAATTGAGGGCTTAAGAAGGCTTAGCTCCACCAGGCTTATTGCTGTCTTTAGACTTAAATCCCTTCTGAAGTCTCAATTTTGTGCAAGACTGAAAAATTAGAGTTAATCTTCTGAGGTTATCACTTAATTGGAGGGTGTCTTTATTTTTAAACCCTAGGCCAGGAAGGCTAAAAAGGAAAGGGTCATAGCTTCCTTTGTGCTAGTGTAACATGAAATTAATCATTGCTCAGCTCCTGGCCACAGGGACATGACATAATATTTCTTTTCTTTCGATGGATGGAAAATCTTCATGTTTCTGTATTTTTATGCTTTGGTTTCCAATAGATCGGGGGTGTCAAACTCGCAATGTCACATGATGTGTCACGACGTATCACAACTTTTTTTCCATTGCCAGCAATGGGGTAGGTGTGGTTTCGGCATGATGCATCCAGCCCGCGGGCTGGCAGCTTGACCCCCCTGCTATAGACAGTAAAGACTACCTCAGGTCAATCAGTCCTAAGATTACTTTCTTCAAAAGAAAACAAAGTTATACCTCAGCCCTGAGTTTTGCTGTCACTGCATTTTCATCCAGGAAGATTGACTCTGTGGCAAGAACTGACAGACACATTCCTAGGTTCTTAGAAGTAGGTTTGTTTGGCTTACACAAGCCTTTTGTACCACATCAAAGTGGTTATATGGCATTTAAATAAGCCATATTTATCCACAGCATAGACATCCATGTAACAGAGGCAGAAAACTAAAGCTATAGGATCCAGAAATCTTCCGTTAACACAATAAATATGAGTAATGTGGAAAACTGACTGCAGAACCAGTACTTATTTATGTGTATTGACAGTATTGATGTGGCTTGTACTCCACTAATTATAGGAGTATGGAATCACCAAAATTGCTAGCCCACTAAAATCACTTAAAGGACATAGCAATCTTGAAAACTCATACAGATACCAGCAAATATTTATATTTGATATTCAAATAATTGTTGTTATAGCAAATATCAACTGATATACAGTAGATCAAGTGAAATTAGTGAAAGGAGACAGTAAATTAACACAACAGGAAACTAAATGGCCCAATATTAATGGCTAAATGTACAGCAAAAAACTTTAAAAATGAGCACTTTTCTTTTTTAACCAAAATTTGGTTTATATAACCAACCCTCTCCCCAAACCCTAACTGTTTTGATCCCTCAGAAAAATAAAATACAAATATTATTATTGATAACATGGGCTTGAAGTCACAAAACATTTCTTGCAGGGAAGGACTATAACAATTGTAGAAGCTACTAAAATTGATGCTTCCCACATAGAAAATTCTGCTCTATCCTTGGCATTTCTAAGAGCTTAGAAAGCTGAAGTGCTAAAGGACTGTCCTTAGCTAGTGCCACACTGATCATGTCTGCTCGTTACACCAAACCAAAGTTTATGGGAGAAACAAGGTTAATCTACAGGATCTGATTCAGAATCTGATTTATGACAAGTAGTACAAAAGCAGTAAGCAGATCTGCCTAAAATCCATCTGCTGATCAATGAGCAAGACTTTGTTTAATTCCAACTGCTAAGAATATTTTTTTCCCAAAGAAGGCTGACATCCTGATCTACAGATTATCACTATATCAAAGGTCTTTCCACACCTTTCTCCAGAGAAGTAGTATTTCAACAGTTTTATTTTGATGAAGTATTAGTTTATCAAAAATGGAAGTTCTGTTTGTTTTTCTGTTATTCTCTTTAATCATTATGGAATTCCCTAAGTGAACCTAATGAAGGGTAAACTGTTAGTACGATATTCACCATTCAACCTGAGCTGGCACAGAAAGGTATTTTTAGGTTTGTGCTCTTGGTAACCTAGTACATCAAAGTACATTTTACACATTCAAAAGGTAGATAACATTGGCTTTATGAACAGCAGGATTAATTTTCAATACAGATTCAATTCTCAAATCTTAAGCATAACCTGATATTCAGGTTGAACTTCTTGCTTTTTCTATTCTACTTCTTTGCATCAAAAGAATTTTAAATGTCTTGAGGAGACTGGTAGAGCAGAGCCTATTAAGATAATAACTAGTTTTTTCTTCCAGTGTAAATAATGCATGTGGAATCAGACTAGTGAGAGGCAAAGTGTAAATAGCTCTTGTTTTCTTTCCACCAAACAAATATGAGC